GTCAGCGATTTTAAATTAAAATCTTTTTTAGCGATTTGATTTTTTTTTAAAAAAAGAAAAAAATTTAATTAAAAACCGCTGCGATTTGATTTTTTTTTTTAAAAAAAAATTATTTAAACTTTTTTAAAAAAGGGGATAATGCCCAAGTATATACTAAGGTCCTATTACCCCCTGAACTTATTTTATTAATAATTTTTTACTCCTTTTCGGTCTACGTGGCACTATCTTGTGGGCCCAACAATGGTTGATTTTTTTTTTCAAACCAATGCCACGTAGGCTAAAAAGGGGTAGAAAATTACTTATAAAATAAGTTCAGGGGGTAATAGGACCTTAGTATAGTACAAGTGTGTCTATGGGATTTTGGGTATAGGTTGAGGGGTACTTGTGCATTATTCGCGAAAAATAATAAATTAAAAAAATTAAACTTAAGTCGCTGCCACAACAGTAACATATTAAAAAAAGAAAATTTTAGTTTGGAAATCGCGCCTTTGGAAGCGATTTTATTTATTTTTTTCTTTTAAAAAAATAATCAAATTTAACAAATCGCTGCTATTGCAGCGATTTTACTTTTTTCACCCGGACAAAATCGCTACTTCATGAGCGATTTTACCGTTTTAGTTAAAAAGAAATTTTATATATTGTTTTGAAATTTTTATTAACATTTTTCACCCTTTAGATTCCGGACTCGTAAACATATATCTATGCTATTTTTATAACTACATACCCTAGTATAATATTTAATATTTTCATATGTTTCTTCTAAATATCAAATAGCGTATTACATATTAAAAAATTAAAATATATATTATATACTATACCCTAAATTACAATATTAAAAATATTAATATAATATAATAATTAGATATATCATATATCATGCCTACACACTAATGACTGTTTATTGTCCCAAATCTCAATCAAATGAACGTGGACGCAATAATTGGATACAATTTACACCTAATAAATTGATTTTATTCTAAGAATATGTCACGCAACAAATTAATGTTATATTTTAATATTTTTAGTCATCAAATTGAATTAGAAATCCAAAAAAGAAAGGAGCAAAACAAATCCCCTATTTTTAAAGTAAATCAAAATCTTTTCTTAATACTCATTTAAGTGTGCTTTTCATTTCAATTTATACCACACTTTTCATTTTCCGAAATTTAAATTTAAATTGTATATAATTTGATTAATATTTGTAATTATATTTACCTATATTGACATGAGATGATTTTTATTTTCTCTAATATATTTTTCTGTTATAGCTTTTGAATATTTATATTTTAACGCGTCATTAGGTACTGAATGAGCTGTACTTGGATATTGGAATCATCAAATCTTATTATTAAATTATTATATTATAATAAATTGCGAATGTCAAACGATTAAATCCAAATAAAAAACAAAAAAAAGATATATCATGAAACAAGTATAAAAATCAAATTCTGACTTTCTTGATTTCCTTTTTGTTTTTAATTTCTCACGAATTCAATTATATATAATATAATTTTGGTTGATCAATAATTATAATTTAGCTATAAAAAGAAAAGGAGTTTAAAGCACGATGAATTTGGAAATTTCAAAGATTCTTAATTGAATTATTTTTTAAAAAATAATCTTTAAAATATCACGATTCACAATTTCAGGCGAGATACGAAGATTAATTATGAATTTAGTTTCCTCGAGTAATTTTAGCTCAAATAATACACAATTAAGTATAAGTTATATACTTCCTTAGTAAATCAAAGAGATAGTTCATGTCATAATTCAAAAAGTTTAAATTAT